CGCGATTGCGCTTACATAACTGCCCCTTTCCTGGATCCAAGGCAGGATATTTTCCGAGTAGTGATCCTCAAATAGTTTTCCCTTAGTTGAGGCTACGATAACCAAAAAAATATCAGTTAATTACTAATTCAAAACATGCATTATCCAACAAAAAAAGGATTTCACGGCTCTCAGAATATAAAAATAAGGATCAGGGCGGGCCAGACCGTGCGCGAGGAATCAGGGCTATCGACTGACGTCACAGAGGAGGGAGACGGCTACACTTGGTGTCAAAAACATGGACTTCCAGGATTTTCCACGGGAAACCTCGGTACAAAAAAATTACAATCACTTATCGTGTGAGAAAGCACACAAGAAAACCAATGTAACAAATTACTAAGGCAGACAAAACAAATGTCTGGGAAATTACAATCACTAGCTTGCGTTATGCAACCCGATATTTTTTGAACAATGATTATAGACTTCGCTTGAATAAGTAAATAAAATTTCTTGTTTCTATCGCGGTCCTTTATCAGCATCCGAAAGCTTTCCTTTGTTCATCGAGTCATCCTGCTTCGTATATGCTAGACGGTATTAACATTTTTCTTCAATGGGAAACCTTTACACTACACCACTACTACTTCTACTTTGGCACTTGGGAATAGGGATGCGACATCTATGTCGATGTTTTCAAAACATCGATGTTTTAAACATCAATATATTAAAGACGATGTCTAAAATCGATGTTTAATGCTTTTTACTTGTCAATGAAAATTTTCCATGACCATAATTTTGTAAAAGTTAAAATATGATATCACTAATGGTGCCAGTCAGTTTCTGAGTTCGAACTCGGCGAACGCTGTTTGTACTATCTACCTCGAGCAGACGATCTCTCGACCGAGATGACTGTGCCCAATATACTAGGAAGTATATTTCCTACGCACTTCCTGGCATTTCGCAATCCTCCTCCGAGGAACTGAGAATTGGTCTTTTGAGATGGTGGGCGCACAGGCTTTTAAGCTCAGTGTTGCCCCTTGTATTATATTTTTTTAACTTTATTTTCAGTTAAATATTAATTATTAATTAACACGGACATTGTCAAATTAAACTTTGTGGTGAACGAATTAAATGATAAGATGTTACTAAACTAACTTTAAAACATCGATAGGCACAGCATTATTAACATCGATATTTTAATTTTGAAAATCGATATTTTGTTATCGATGTCGCATCACTACTCGAGAAACGCGCAGCGCATGCGTAACAGCTGCGCAACTAACAGGCTCCCTTCAACCAGGCTCACCGCCAGCCAACTACTGGAGTGTTCCGTGTGCTATGTGTCAGTCCAATGAAGCCTTTTCGAGTTCCGCAAGGTGCGTGCGTTCAGAGTGGATCCGTGCTCGGGCAAAGAATTGTAGGTGTTTTTTGGTTTGTTGTTGTTTTTTGTGGGGGGGGGGCGAACGCCCGGCTGATTTTGTCGAATGGTGGAGGTCGACTGACACGTACCGGACATTCGGAAGAGATTTTGTTGTCGAACGGTAACACTCACCTGCACCCGGCATTTATCTTCAAATTCTTACGTAAATGCAGGGGCGCGCCTAAAGAGGGGGGGGGGGCTCGTGGGGCTTCAGCCCCCCGAACAAATTATGCATTTAAAAAAGTGTAGCTTTTGTTAATTTTCTGTTCTAATGAAATTCGTTCAATATCTCCACTGTTTACGTTATAAAGTAACTGTAAGACAAATAAAAATACATTTTGTATTCGGCAAAAATGAAAATATCTTTGTAAGAAAATATCAAGTCCTCTGGACATACCTTTAGCCCCCTCCCCTCCCGAGAAAAATCTGTTGAGTCATAAAATGGAGGCGAAAAGATTAAAGCTAATGTCTGAGATTTATATTTAAAATGCGTTGTTTGGCATGACTTGCTTGTAGAAGTAACTTCACGTTCTAATTGCATTACTGAGGCTACGTTCCTGTTTAACAGAAACTATTAACAATCCATCTCATCGATTTTCCTTCACTTTCCTGTCACAATTTCGGGGAATTGGGCCAGCCTTCCAGAGGGTTTTCGTCCATAAACTAATGAAACAAGTGTGTCTATGTTCATGTTGAATGGCTTACATTGGCCGAAAAGCAGGTGGCAACTCATTTTGTAGCACAATTTTTTCGGCTATTCCCAGTTTTCTAGTGCATTAAAAAAATTGCTGGCAAGATTTTCATATTCACGCTATTTAAAGAAAATACTAAAACCAACCTGATACTAGCTAGCCAGCTCTCTGATTTCACCGCGACAAAGAATAAATTAACAATATTTTCCCAATAAATAAAAATTGGAGAAAAAATAAAGTTGTAGTAATTTCAAGAAATAATGTCTAGTTTTATAACCTGAAAATTGTCCGACTTTTAATTTTTCCACAAAGTTCCTGACTTTTCCCAAGCAATTGAATTGCCCCTCTTTCGTGTTTTCGAGAAAATAGCCGCCCTGAACTTCGTTTGATCCCGTTCTGTCAATTGGGAAGTTGGCCGTTTTCGTCAGAAGACATCGGGCGCAGTGCGATCTTGGCGCACTCTAGTGTCTACTTATTTATACTTTTTACGTTTGGACGTTTACAGCCGAATTTGTCCAAACGCGAGTTATGCCGAACACAGATCCACTCTGAACGCACCCTATTAGTTAATCGCCGGTCGTGATGGCGTTTGGAGTTATTTTCAAGCACACTACGCCGAAAGTCACGAGCTCCAACCCCGTGAACAGCATAATTATTTACACCACGTGGTTATGGGATGGTTAATCTCTACTTCCATTATAAATCACATCTGAACATGTGAAAATTTGAGCAATTTATCCGTTTATCCTGAGCAAAACCTTTCTTGATGCTTTAACCAAATATTGAGATGGCCTCTTGTTTTGTTTCTGGACATAAATGTAGCTTCACTATTGTCCGATTAAAATAATTGTGTCTGACAACAGCCACAGTTTGTTCTTGCAACCCCTGAGAACATTAATATGTTTATTTCTATCACCATTTACGCTCGCAAGTTTTCTCACAGCAGTCGCCGGGGGGCCACGCGTGTCCTAGCAGATGCGGTAACAATGTTTCCCCCACGCTCCGCTGTCAGACACAGTTAATTTAATCGGGCAGGTTTGCACCTGTGCACTTTTTCGTGAGCTCAGTGGAGAATTTAGTTATTTAAATAATCGTTCATTAAGTTCACGCGACGGTATGTTGAATAGTTCCCAAAGGCACGATGCCTTTGCAAATAGTTTTTATTTCACGGAAGCAAATATTTTACTGATTAATTCTTTCCACCTGTATTCACAATTCAACCTGAATGTGAGTTAGGGTAGGGATTCCAAAACTTAAGAAAATGTGCACAGAATTCCCTTCTCCCCATAGTACGACCCAAAGTTTTTAACTGATTTTGACATAAAATAAAATAAAAATAAACATCAACTCGTATATATTCACTCATCTCTCATCATTCATTTGTCGTAACCATCCCGACCATCCTCACAGTGGGAAGCAAAC